CCACAGGCCTCGCTGTCGAAGCACCGCGGCAGCTGCCGCATGGAGGGCAAGAAGCTCTTCCAGGCCCAGCCGACCAGCACAGAGGCGCCGTCGAAGGAAGGGGGCGATCAGGGTGCTGAGGGCTCCCCCGGGCAGAAGAGGAGGAGGAGGGAAGGGGGTTATGGTCATGTCCTCATTACCCCAGGATTTTCATTTTTACCCCATTTGGGGTAATTTACCCCTGTTCCCTGACCACTGCTCTAGGAGGAACATTTCTTTCTATCCCACCACCCTTATCAGCATGTTTGCTGAAAACACACGGTGAGTGCCTTCTTGGTGGTTGCTCCCTGGCTATTTCACTGCCTTCCATGGGACTCCAGACAGCCACCCTCCCTGTTGTCCTTCGTTTTTAAACTATTTTTAAACTATCAGTTCAGTTTTTTTAATGTGACTTTCTCTTTAACATTCTTTTAATATTAGAATTCATTGTATTGGTTCTCCAGTTCCGCTTTCAGATTTATGCGGCAAACCACCTTAAGTCTTCCAAAGGAGAAAGGCAAGATTGAAATTAGGCAGGCAAATAAATAAATGATGTTACTTGTTTGTTTGCATGTTTTAAAACCTACTGTTTGTGGTTATAGATGCCCTAGGGTTACTTTAAGACTATGTGATGGATCATACTTTCTTATAAGTTTATCCAAACAATGAGATCTACGAGGAGGGTTCCTTTTTGAAACACATTTGCTGAAGGGTTGACTGCCTTTTAAAGGAGTGGTGCTCTACTTTTCAATCTCCAGGGTTTCCCCCTTCCCTTGTTTTTTATTTTATTTTTAATAAAAAATATTTTAAAAAATTTTAATAAAAAAAGATCTACGAGTAGGGCTCCTTCTTGAAACACATTTGCTGAAGGGTTGACTGCTTTTTAAAGGAGTGTGTACACACACACACACACACACACCCCACTCCTTTAAAAGGCAGTCAACCCTTCAGCAAATGTGTTTCAAGAAGGAAACCTCCTCATAGATCTCATTGTTTGGATAAATATATATTAAAAATTGCTGAGAGCTGTTTTGGATCCCAGAACTAATGGAAAAGGCAGGCTATAGAAGTAGCATTTATAAATTGGTCTGGGGACTTCTGATGATGTCGTATAGGCACTTAAAGACTTGGGTATATTTCTCCTTGTTCCTAGTGTTTGCCACAGGTTTGCTAGGAGCATTTGGAGAGCTCCCGGTTAAAGAGAAAATGGCAGGAAAGGGGGAAGTCACTGGAAGAGATACGGAAGCACTGCTCAAATCTGGGGCAAAATAAGCTGAAGAAAAGAGATTCATGTCTTATGAATCTGTCTAATTGTCTAAAGATGTCCTCCAGGAGATACCTGAGAGGGGTTTCGTAGGTGAGATGCTCCTATAGGAGCCTCTGCTTGATGTTGCTATCCTTGTTCTGGCAACTTTATGAATTAGAGATCTCCAAAATGGCCAGTTGTCAACAGCCCTGCTCAGCTCTTGTAAATTCAAGCTTCTGGCTTCCTTTAGGGAGTCAATTCCTCTCATATTAGGTCTTCCTCTTTTCCTTCCACCTTCAACATTTCCTAGCATTATTGCCTCTTCCAGAGAACCCTGCCTCCTCATGATGTGCCCAAAGTAGGACAGCCTCATTTTCAACATTTCTCCCTTCAGAGATAGTCCAGACTTGATTTGATCTAGGATCCACTTGTTTGTCTTTCTGGCAGTCCAGTGTATCCACTTCAAGTATTCACCAACAAAAAGACATTAAGAAATTACAATTACAATACTGGGGCAAACACTACTGCTCAAGGTAATGCTGAACTATTGGTTTTCCCTTCCAACTGATGACCCATTGGTAGAGTCCAATTTTTTTTTACATAATCAACCAGGAAAACAGTTGTCCATGGAACATAGCTTTCTCAATGGTTCCTCACCACGGTTGCTAAAGGAAACTATCCTGTTAGGCAAAGAAGCTCTGGTACTAGGTGTTGGGGAACAAAGAATTGTGAGGTGGTGTGTCTGTGTGTATTGCTGCCTTCATAACCTGCTCATTGGGTTTCCCAAACATATGGACTGACAACTATTCGAAACAGAATGCTCAACTAGTTGAATTTCTGATCTGATGCAAAAGCATCTTCCTTTCATTTTCAACATTTTCGTTGTTTAGTCGTTAAGTTGTTTCCGACTCTTTGTGACCCCACGGACAAGAAGCTGATGATCATTTTCAACATATCATACCCTAAACTGAGCTTCACTATTAAAATAAGCATAGGCCAGAAAGTCAACTGGGATCAAAGGCAACCCAATGACTATATATGACAAATCCAATAAATATTCATGAGGTGTCGCTACAAGAGCTTCGCCAGTGAGATGTTTCTGACTGAATTGTTAGACAATGGTGGGATATAATTATCACTGCAGAACCTCTGTCGCTCTGCTGTTTTTAGGGATAAAACATATTCTGATTTAGAGTCTAGTGAGCTGTTGCATTTATATCTTTAATCATCATCATCATCTTAGAACTGTGGAGCTGGAAGCGGTCCTATGGATCACTGAGTCCATCTTTACTATCCATGTCATAAGCTTTTCCACATCCTTTGGTGCATAAAAATATTATTATTATTTTAATTGTTTAAAAGCAGCTCAAGGGCTTTTAAAAATCTCTTGTTGTTGTCAACTAAGAAAACAGGTTAAACCTAACTGTTCTGATTAACTCAAGGAGTGTGCATTCATTCCAGCATAGGGGCTGGTAGATCCTAAGTCAAATTGAGCATTTCAGAGGTGAACACTTAGCCTGCACTTGCTAGTCCAGAGCCAGAGGAGAAAACAGCTGCAGTGGTAGGTTGACCTACTAGGACCTCTGGAAATGTACAAAGGGGCTGTTATCTACACACTTGCCACTCCATTCTTCTAAGTGTGTGTCTACATTACAACAATGTAGATTGTTGTAATTGCAACAATCTGATAACTGCCATGACTCCATGCTTTAGAACTCCTGGGATTTGTAGGCTGGGGAAGTATTCAGAATTCTATGCTGGAAGTCTTGGTTTACTCCACTGAGTAGTACCACCAACCAGAGAATTCTACTTACTGTGCCAAGATATGTATCCCAGTATCACATAGGTTGGAACTTCTACAACTCAAGCTGTGTCTAACTGTTGTAACTGTTTAGTGCAGATACAGTCCTATGTTCAACAAGCTAACAAACTTGTGCCCAATCTGTAATGCTTAGGGCTGCAAGGGAAAGCACATTTTATACATGCTTAACTGTAGAAAAATACACACAGAGAACACAAGACATTAGAGAGAAATATTCTAGCTTCTCTTCTTCCTATTCTTGTACTTCTATTTTGCATGAGGTAATTTTCCTCATGTAAACACTCAACACTCCCACTCCGCCCTAGAAGCATATGAATTTAAAATAGACTGTATTTGAATAGACTATTTATCAATTTTTAAAACCTTAACAATTGTGTATTGTGTGCATTATTATCTATCAAGGTGAAATTAATCAAGGCTAATGACTTCTTCTATGTAACATCTCCTACTCTGTTCTTAAATGCATATAAGAGCATCTCTTTTCAGATTAGAACAGTCCCCCCCCTACTTCATTTGTCTCTGTATTTAATTAAACAACAGTGAAGAGGAAAAGCTGACAGATTTTAGACCAGAATTTCTATATACTGTACATTCTTAAATGGCACTTGCTTTAATTTAATTTCTAGACTAACCCCAACCCCAAACTGGGAACAGGTAAGTATAAGGATACCCCGTTTTCATAGAAACAAGTAATTTATGTGTGTAGATGGGTACAGTGTATAGACAGATAGACACACTTGCACAGGCGCATAAACAGGAACACACATAGGGTCTGCCCTCTTTACTTGCTCTTTTTATGTGCAGAAGAGTGTAGTGGTTCTGCTCTGACATCATGCATAGCATTGCACCCAATGTCAAACATCTACAATCGCAAAGGGAGTGGCTCCCTTCATGTAAACATTGCAGTCTGATATGGAGGCATGGAAGTTGGGGCCCACTGAGGGTTGGAGTTAGCTATATAACATTGATCCAGTAGCTTGATGCCTCCTTCACACTATTGAGGATTCAAACGTGAAAGGAAGGTAGATTAAGGATCATAACAATAATGTTTTTCTAGAAGAGTGGCACTCTTGTGCAAACGCACAGTTTCTCAAGACCATTCCATTTCCTCACTGTTTCAAATCCTTATTTGCATCTCGGTCTTGATCTTGTCTATATGACATCACCTACTCAGATTTCAGGACAACCCGACTGGAATGCAGGATGTCCCTTGATCTCACCTCATCTTTAAACATTCAGGCAGTGGTGTAGTAGTGAATTTGGAAATGCTGATGATGGCAATTCCCCATAGTCAATTATCAAAAAGGATCAGTCCACACCAACAAATGAAGAATATGTTGTTGTTTTGGTAAAGATAATGCCCCCTTCGTTGTTCATTCAAGACCAAATCACCCTTTCATACTTTACATTACAAGAAGGGTAACATGCAACAATCAAATGTTTCTGGGAAAATCCATTTCACTCTCTCTGCTACTGTAAAGATTGCAGGTAAACTTGGGGGGGAACTGGGGAAGCCTAAGAAAAGCAGTAGAAAGCCCTAGAACTTCAGGCCTATAAGTACAGGCTCCATGACACCACTCCACTCATGATATATGGATGCACATTAAGATCTGACATGGAGCAAACAGAAAGGGGAGGAGACTGCAGTGCGATAGAAGCAAGACAAGTATGAATCCATTCCAAATCAAAAGCAAAGTCTGGACAAATCCTCACATCATATCCTTCACCCCAGTATAAATATTACTTTCAAGACAGATTAGCGGGTAATCAGGACAGAAGACTACAGATGTGCAGGCAACGGAAGAGGGCTTTAAATATTCTTCATTACAAATGCACACCACCAAGCTCAAGATGGATTTTTTTATTCATTAATTCATAATAGACTAAATTTAGCCTTGAATCTATGCGACTTACCATACAAAGCTTTGGCGCTCGTCTTCGAACCCTGGTCCCTCTCACCTTGCGAAAATGCTGGTGACCCATATCCGCTGCAAAATAAAGTAACGGTTTTGTGTATATTTATCTGGCAAAGCTAGTCAGTATAATCAGAGATTATATTTGTTATTCCCACTGGATTAAGGAACTTGAAAAATTTTACCTTTCATGCTTCCAGCCCATATTGCAGTAATACTTCAAAAGGTGCAAAAATGACAAATGAAAACTTCAATAATAAAGTGATTAATGAAAGAAAATTTCCAAGAGAGGGTGACTTCATGCCCTGCAGAGTTCTGCTTATTCCAATCCCTAGCCCCTAACCAATTAGTGGAAGAAAAAGAAATTATGCAAATTGATGTGTATATACATAATTTTGCCAAGTGGTGACCAGATCTAAATCCACGTGGCTTCATGTACTTCACCATACACTTTCAACGCCATGTCCTGGCACCATTTCAACAGCCATCTTGGGGCCTCCAATATGGGAGGAATCAATTAAATGAATAAGCAGAGCTATAGTATATTCAATAGTGAGTGTCCTAACTAGAAGCCACTAACCATACTTGCATTTAGGAAAGATAAATATATTTACCCAGTGTGGTATTGTTGTTGTTGTTGTTTAGTAATTAATTTATGTCCGACTCTTTATGACCCCATGGACCAGAGCACGCCAGGCCCTCCTGTCTTCCACTGCCTCCCGGAGTTTGGTCAAACAACAGTGTGGTATAGTGGACTAAAACTCAGGAGACCTGAGTTTGGGGCACAAACTGCAGTTGAGAGCTTTGGCAAAATTTGGCACAGCACCCGCATATGTGCTCTGTAGGTGCCACACATCCCCCCTCTCTCCTCTGCATGCTTGCCCATTCCAGGTTGAAGCATGCTTTCCTCCTCCACCTCCTCAGTGTGCTTGCCACTGACTGACTGTAGTGCTCACTTCCCTCCTTGTCCTTAGGAATGGACCTCAACAGATGCGAAGCCTTGAGCTCTGAGCATTCAGCCTGGAGGCAGGCGGTGCATCACGGCCTCTCCCAATTTGAAGAGTCCCTTGTCCAGCAGGCCGAGCCAAAGAGGCATGCCCGAAAGCAGCAAAATCAGGGAGCTGGACAGGGGACAGACTGTATTAGTCCTCAGTGTGGAAGGGATTGTCACTCTCGAATTGGCGTTCTCAGCCACACTAGACGCTGTTCCAAGACCTCTATTCAGAGCATATTACCATAGTCTCTTGAGACTGAAGGACGCCTACTAGACTTTGGGGGTGTTATTTCAGGACATTTTTGTGTTGTAGGGGCAAATTCTTCCATATTTTGCCCATTGGGGGGCATTTTTTTGTTTTAAGTTATTTTTTATTTCACAGTGAATAATGATTAATGTACTGGACTACTTTTACAGCTCCCTCCACATTTTACCCATAGGAAAATTCATTTTCTCTGTTTAACACTCTTGCCATTAAAATTCTCAGTTTTTGAGATGGTGGTGCTTCTTCCGGGCCAGTAGAGATCCCTGGTTGTGTAACCACCTTTTGTATGCAAACCATAGCGATCATTGATCTGGAGGACCTCCGAATGAAACTGATAGAAAGAAAAAGCACTTACATCTTCCAAATCGGTCCGCAGAAATGATAGAATGATTTGGTGGGCAGGAGACGTTAATAGCGAGCGCTTTATCGAAACTGACAAGAGTATCTAGAGATGGCTGAAATCTAAAGAACCCCTTAAAGCAAAAGAGTCTTGCTACTATTTTTCTTGGAATGACAGGCACCTATTCAAAAGCCTAACAAATGGCTTTTGAAATTTCTCTTAGTTTCAAAAGGGATTCAGTATTTAGGCAGAAATCTGCACTTCAAAAAACGCATCTTGGCCCTCTTTTGGTCTTGTGGAAGTAATTAGGCAATTATTTAGAACCTGAATTGTGTGTAGAAAAGAGGAAAATAATTATTATAATAATCTTAGAACTGCAGAGGGCCCTTTGGGTCATCAAGTCCAGTCCCTTTCAAGGAGGTACTGTGGGGAATTGAACTCTGAACCTAGACCACTGAACTATCTGTCGTCGTTTTGCATAAGCATGTCAATCCATATGGGAGCTTTCAAAATGTTTCTAATGTGGTTTCATGAAGGCAGGAAAGTTCTCCTCCGAGTGTTGAATACCAAAAACAACTTCCCATATCCAAATGTTCATGTTTTCTCCCCTCATTGTCATGTTTATGGCAATCTAAAGGTATCTATAAGCTATAAGATGTGACTATTCAAAGCTAATTCTGAACATATTTTGCACATATGAATTTCAAAATAACTTGGAAGTTATAATTTACATTTGTATAAAATATTAAATATAATGGATCGGATGTACATATATTTCTATTGGAAATGTGTGATCACACCAGTCACTCTCAATGGGGGCCTCTTTGGCACATTTAAACAGGGCCACAGACTGGAAACAAATCTTCACACACCACCTTATAAGATTTGTTATGCAATTTATACAATCCTGATTAAGCCTATATTTCTTTCATCGTGTCTTTATGGCTGTGGCCAAAACAAAGGATAAGAATGGCTGCCTACACTATGGGCCAGTGCAGCAAAAATGGTTATTTGTCTATATACATAATGCATCTAAAGCCAACAAACTTTGGGAAGAAGCATGGACATGTTTGTGATGTATGTAACTCTCATGAGTAAGAATGAGAAACCATTAAAAAAAATCTACCCATGAGAGGGTGACTTATTTTTTATCTGTCTCCATGAGAGTCTTCTGATTTGTAAGAATGTACAGTATGTACAAATACTGTAATGCAAATTGCAAATAATGCAGTATTTGCACAAGTAACAAATTCTGCAAAACTATTGCAACTGCTATTGTGCTGTAAGGACTTTTTAAGAATCAAAAGCAGTAAACAACTTCTTTGCATCTTTTTTAAACAGTCAGCTGCTGTGTGTGCCTGTGTTATATTTCTCAAAGGGAAATGATATTAGTTTTGCTCTCTAAGACCTTTAAGTGTGTTGGGGGTGGGGAGCAAATCCTTGTCTCGCTCTCATACTGAAGATGAGGAATCTCAGAGGGCTCGAAGCATCCTCAGTGAAATGTTTCCTTGTGTCAAGACAATCTATAATGATGAGACTGAAGACTTTCGTGAGAGTTCTTCATACCTATATGTAGAGTCTTTCTTTAAAATAGTAATTACCTCTGATTGCTTTTTTTAAGCAACTATTACTCAGCTTTTTAAGAGACACAAATAAATTATGCATGTCTCTGGCTTGAACAAACAGCATTAGAACTATTTATATGTCTATTTAGAATACCAGAAGCCATAGACTCTTTTCTACTAAATTGGGGGTGGTGGTGAGGAAATCCCATTAGAAGCTTTCTAAGGGTAGAAAGTTGCCTCAGGCAGCTGACGGTACACAATAAATCAGCTGCTACCCATTCAATTGTACATAAATCAAAAGGACATCAGTTTCCAAACAGGAAAGGTTTTCCTGATCCTAACTGAGACTGGATACATTTACCTCTTAAATTCATCTGTAGGGTCACCTTCATCAAGGTTTGGCTAGCGCTGTGAGCACCTTTAACCAGAATCCAGACCTGAGGTGCAGGTCTTTGAATCTTAAAATCAGCTGCTGAAATTCCAAGTTAGGAATGAAGAGGTGGGAGCCAGGAAGTTTGGACTTCAGTTCTCACAGCTCAGTTAATTAGGCAAGGGCAAAAGGCCACTTATTTGAATATTTATAGCGGCCATTGCCAATCCAGCGGCTTGCTTCTCCTGGCTAACTGGAGGGAGACTGTGTATACCCTTAATTCCCTTCAGACAAGGTTGAGGTGTAAATGCAATTCCATGGCAAATTGATATAGACTAATAGGTGGGGCATCCTAAAAGAAATTATTTAGAGTTTTTCGCCCTTAAGCTTTTTGGAGTCACACATCGATTTGAAAATCTAATTAAACCTATTGATTCCACCACCACCCCTACAAAACGAATATAAACACAAACACAGCACATTTTCTATGAAAAAAAAAATACCTTCGCATTTAAAGGAATTTGAAGCAGACACAGACTCTGAACCAAACCTGTGAAGACAGCTGGGACGATTTGTACAGACCCTTTCTTAAGCACAGGCATTCACATTCAAAGTTATTCTACCAAGGAAGCTCTGCATAAGGGAGAGTTTGTACAAATTATTCCAATTTTAATTGAAATAACATCAACTTTGGGCCCTGATGGCAATTTTAATTGTATTTTAATCATTTTATCTTGTATTGTATTTTAATTGAATTTTAATTGTTGTAAGCTGCCCAGAGACCTTTGGGTATAGTGGGTGGCATACAAGTTAAATAAATAAATAGCTGATTTTGCTTCAAGCTTCTTTATCTGACAAAATCTCTTCAAATAGTATTATGAAACTAAATTATCCACAGGATGAGTACTTTTCACTTGTGGAGGCTGTGCCATGGGGAAGATGGTGTGTTATCAAACCGGTTAGTACGATCAGAAATGTGACCTACGGTAGGTACATGGAGCGGACAATTCAGACTGTGTTCAATCAATTGATGATTCCCAGTGTGTAGGCATCCTTCAGTCTTGAGAGACTATGTTACCGTAACATGCTCTGAACAGAGGTCTTGGAACAGCATCTAGTGTGGCTGAGAAGGCCAATCTGAGAGTGACAATCCGTTCCACACTGAATGCATACAATCTGCCTCAGGAGTTAACTTCGAGGCAAAATCCGGATACAATCTGCCTCAGGAGTTAACCTCGAGGCAAAATCTGGAGCCGGAGTCCTGGAGGCAGTTCATGTCATTCTGGCAACTCCTACGACATCATTGGAACCAGTTGTATTGGCTCTTGCCTTTCCATTGGACTATTTCAGTGATGTGGAGAGGAGGGATTTGCTGGTTGGGTAACAGTCTATCCTCCATATTATTTTACCCAGGCATCGAACTCTGGAGAGGACACTCCAGCTTCCCACTGGTGTAATGGATAGGCTGAGACAGGAGGAGTCTGGAGACCAGGGTTCAAATCCCTGCTCAGCCATGAAAACTCACTGGACAAGTGGAACTGGTAAAACCACTCTTGAAATATCTCACTTACTTTGAAATTCTTATTATAGTTGCTGTAAGTCAGTTCACACACAATGGTTTCTCTGGTGATGCGCTACGAAGTCTATGTGAAAGTGGGTAGGAATGACTGCCAAATTGGGCTGTAGTTTTACCATAGTCTACACGGACTAGAATTAGAGATAAGGTTTTTGTTTTTCTGGGACTATAAATCCCATCATTCCCCAATGGGAGTTCTACCTGACTTGCACACATTTGGGAGAACCTAAACTGGAAGGCTTGGAGGCTTAGCTCTTTACAGACAGCGAAATGGAGATCAACTGAGAGCTCCATCTGGGACAGCCTAAGCTGGAAGGCTTGGAGGCTTAGCTAGGTCTAACTCCACCTAGCTTCCTGTCAAGAAAGAAAATTCCCAGCTAATACCAGTGCAAGATCAGGAAACCTGGGTGGAGCTAGGGCTCGCTAAGTCTCAAAATCTTCCAGTGTATGTCTTTTTCCCCAGGTGAAACACATTTAGATGTCCATAAAGTCTTTGTAAATCAGGTAGGACTCTTAAAATGGGGAATTATAGGATTTGTAGTCCAAGAAATATTAAAATCCCTTTCTTAGAATCTCTTACAGTCCCAAAACATTCAGCATTTAACTTAAGAGAATTATTGCTCGAGAATCTCTTACAGTCCCAAAACACTCAGCATTTAACTTAAGAGAATTATTGCTCCAGAAGCCATTCTTTATTAAAGGTGTGTCAATATTTCTTTTTGATGGGACACTGCGAAAACCCACATATATCCTCTATAGAGGCATAACAACAAATAGCATTGCTTAACAACTGAAATTGCTATTAACATTATTTTTGAAACATTATTGTCATAACACTTGTTTTATTAATCTCATTTTGGAGTAACTGGCTGAAAAAGAAACAAATCTAGTGTTAACACATTATTTCTGACCTCTGACAGGAGTCATCATTTTTATGCAGCTGGACAGACAGCCAAGGGCACTGAGCACCTGCACCACTTCGTTGCCATTTGTGCTGGAAGGCTGCATCCTGTGAAATTGCATACAAACATCCTTGTGCAGAGCCAGGGGGTCCTACTGCCATCAGGGAATGGGTGGGGATCGGTTTGCAGGCTTCAACACCATCTCCCAAGCAAAAATCCAACACTACACACAAAAGACCAGCTAAGAACCCCCATCATTCACAGTGACAGATAATCTCTCCTCCTTATCGCAACAATACACCCACAAAAAAAAAACACTGATCACCATAATCACCCAATCTCCTGAAAAGGGCAAAAGCTGATCCAACAGCTATAAATACTCAACTCCCAAACAAACTGCACCAGAGCACAGAGTGCTATTCCTCTCCTCTGAAAATGCTGGCCACAGAGACTGGCAAAATGTTAGGAAGAACAACCTTCAGAACATGGCCAAAGATCCCGAAAAACCCACAACAACCAAAAAATCAGACACTCTCCTCTTCTAGCAACCCTTCATCTGAGATCAGCCTCCATGCCTGAAAAAGCTTAACATGGGAGACCCTGAGATTTGGTGAACCTCGCATAAAAGAAGTTTCTGGAACTGAACTCAATATATTCAGCTAAGAACTACCCAGATTTTGTATGGACTGAACTCTTAACTTTGAGAATGAAAAGACTCCGAGGGACACTTCACCAAGCAACTTTTGTACTGGTGCTCTTTCTTTGGTTGCACTGAACCTGGGGCATATTACTATGGTACGTCTTGGCCTTAGCCAGTATGACCGGCCTTACTCAAAAGGTCCACAAACGATATTTTCAGCTAAGAACTACCCAGATTTTGTATGTTTGGATTGTTATTCTTTTGCTGCCATTCATAAAAGTGCAAATCCTTGTAAAGTTACTTGACTTTGGAGTTTTTAATTGACAACCTCACATGACACCAGGGAACCTGCTGCAATCTACGGCGTGTCACTAAGCCTTAACCAAAGATATCCTTATTCACCTTCAAGCCCCTGACAACCATCAAGAACATTCTGTTTCTATGACTCAGGCTGTAACCTGATGCGTGGAACTGAGAAGTCATGTACACAACAGCATTTCCTCAGGAGATCAATCTGCTATTGTATATATAGGCCGTGTGGCTGATCTTTATCTCTCCAGTCCAAGTGTCTGGAGCCAAACAAAATCTCTCCTGTATTGCTTAGCCTGGTTCTCATAAATATTACTTCAGGAGCATCTTTCAATGCAAAGAGAGAGGAGGTGTCTGCAGAGAAATAAAATAATAAAAGGAAGCCTCAGTGCACTGGCCAAAGGTCTTGGATATGCCCAAAGACCTCTCGGGGTTCTAGCACACATTTAAGGGATCATTTCTAGAGATACAAGGGCTCCAACCATCCTTAAGTGGTCAGAGAAGCATACACATCCTTCTGTCTTGAGCAGCCAAATGTCCAATTGCACCCTCTAGCTGTTAGCACCAAGACGGACTATTTTGGTTCACTCCCAATTGAGGCACAAGAGAGCCTGTTCTTTCATCACCAGAAATTATTTGCCTCAACAGAGCTACATCTGTTTTGAATGCAGGGTGGGAATGGACTGAAATAGCCCATTGTGCTTCCCAGAATGAAACAATAAGCCATTCTGAACCCAAACATTCCCTGGGTATGATGGGAACCGAGGTACAAAAAAGGAACTTTTCCAAGCTGTAATCCTGATGGGCAATAGTACATGAAAGGGTGCAACACTCTACTTCAGTGGCCTGAATCCAGTTGGCGGAGTAGTTTTTGGTTTTGAGGGGGCAGGGGGTTATGTTAAGTATTGACTCAGCATTCAGAACTTGGCTTAATGAGTATTGGCTCAAGGCCTGATCTTAAGATGGCAATACACAAGTACACATTTTTGCAGTTTTGGGGGGGAGATTAGACGATGAAGAACCTGTGGGATGGGGAGGGACAGTACAGATAGATGGATGCTTGAAGCTGCACGTCTTACCCAACCCCAAACTGAGTTTTCCACTGAGTTATTAATAGCGAAAGTGCAAAAATAGGGGCAGAAAGAGGCACCGCTTCTGGCAATGTCTGAGAAAGCCTGAAATTGGCCATTCGCTTCACATGTCAATTATTTCCAGGTCAAATATTAAAAGATGAGAATGTGAAGAATGCTTAGTACATTCCCCCCCCCCCCCATTTTTTGTTTTGATCAGTTTGGGAGCAGGGAGAGTTGCTGGATAACAGCAGGTCACTATTATAAGAACTGTTGGATAACTCTGTGGTTTAAAGAGTCAGTGGCTGGCCTCAGTGAGCCATAGGGTCCCTCCCAGCTCTGAAATTCTAAGACGATGGTGGTGGTGGTGATACTTACTTTACTTGAGAAGAGTAACTTCCATATGCGGCGGGATGGGTATTTGAAATATGTCCATTCATTCTGATCGCTACTCAATCTGTGGAAAAAAGAGAGGGGGAATCAATTAAAACATTCATGCACTACCATCTTAACAGATGTTAAGAGGAAGGTGCATTTCCTACAATCAACCTGTTTTCCCTCCTACAGTTTCAACAATGCACTTGCAGATTAAGCCAATGTTTTACTTTCCAATGACCAACCACAAAACAAAGCATGCTAAAGGCAAGGTACATAAGAGAAGGAAACCAATGGCTGTGACAGATAATGCTATGACTTAACTGCCCCAGCATTTTTGGCAGTTACGAGAAGCCAAAATTCAGTTGAAAAGACAATAATGTTTGGAAAATCTGGGTGGGAGGAAAAGTTACAGAAAAGAAGCAACACTCAACAGACCAGATGACATTAGATTTAAAGTCTACCTTCCCCTAGTTGATTATTACCATACTTCTTCAAGTGACTCATATTCAGAGGTCATATAGATGCCTACCAGAGATAGTTTTTGGTTTGTAGTAGTGCCCCACTTGCAAAACTCCACAAGCTTTTGTGGTTTGTTACAATAGATTTGTCAAGCTGCTCTTACATCCATCCAACTGAGCATTGTTCTAATACAGTGAGTGAGCTAGAATGTAAAACACCAACACCACAATTACCTCCGGAAACAGCTACAGAAATAAAGGAGGCCTTGCACCCGCTGAAGCCCTACAGGTACTAACAGAAGCAAGCTGTGGGTAACTAAAGTTTAGGGACATTCTAATCAAATGAAACCCAGCATAAGTATTACTCCAATTACCATAATAACGCTTGTGCATTGGATTTTATAACTCTTTGTTTAATCAACACAGCATGCTCTTCCTTCGCATGGCAGCTTTATTTCATACATTATTTCAGATTCACACAAGGCTGGTTTTAGACATTTTGCTAACCGGACCAAACAAGATGAAACCTCCTCCTTTTTCCACTAATCCTTATTTCCATCACCAGCCTTGAACAGCCCCATCCACTTCAGCTCAGGGCCACAGACTAGCTTATTATGATGTACGCCAGCCTGCACAAACACCAATTTTTGTCCTCCAGCACAGGAGAATGGTCAAGGCAAGATGTTGTAAGCATTTCAAGTTCTCTCTCATTTCCAAGGAGAAATAAAATCATGTGAGAATCGCAGACAAGTCTGTTTTTGAGAGCCACAAGCAGTATTGACTGCTAGATCCATCTAGTCCTGCTGAATACTGGCTCCTCCCCCTCCTTCCATTTTATATATTCATGTTTTTCGTTTCTTCATTAATGACTAGAATCCAGTTGTGGTTTATGCTTCGTTAAATGAAATGGCACAAGTCACAAAAAGGAAATTACCCATAAACACCACCAGCAACTCGTTAAGTAACAGCATTTGTTTTCACAACTTATGCTACCACACTTACGCAAGGACAAATTTGCAACTGGATTCTAGCCGATATGCATTGTACCACGTTCAGGCTATACAGACACATTTTAAATGGCTAGTCAACATATTTTAGTTCAAAGTGTTCTTTCCAGTGCATTTAATTAGCACCTTTCTAGCAAGCCTTTTTGTCTCTCTAATTTGCTGGGCTGAATGCCATTCTGTTAATTAGCATCTTACAAGTCAAGTCAGAAGGCTTTCTTGTGCCTAAAAGTCACACATTTTGTGTTCATCAACATGTTGCTGATGTTTTTCTTTCTTCCTTCCACCTCTTCACACTTTATGATCCAGAACAATAAAAATCAACCATTCCCTTAAAAAGTTCAAGACTCTCCACTGAGTATCAGCTATAACAGAGGTCATCAACCCCCGGTCCACGGCCCATTGACAGTCCCGGGCTTGAGCCCGACCGGGCCGTAAAGACAGACCTCCCCCCCCCGCACACACTCCCCTCCCACAGCTGCTTTGCGGACACCAGCTTTTCAAGACACCAGGTTTTTCCTGCTGGGGGAAGAAGGAGAAAGGCGGGACGGGAGGCATCCCGTTGTCTCAGTGCCTCTGTGTTACCCAGGAATGCTGCCGGAGCTGAGGTAAAAGCAAGCCCTGGCGGCGAGCAGCTGCTCCCCCACTTGCCCGGCGCCCTTCATGTGTGTTTCTCCCTGTGTGTTTCTCCCCAAACAACCACAGTCAAGCGGCATGTGTGTGTGTGTGGGAGGGCTCCTGCTCCATGTGCTGCTGTTTTTTTTTTACTTAAAAGACGGCTCAAGAGAGGACACCCTTGTCAGGGAATGGGGAAGTTGGTATGATTTCCCATGAAGGGTGGCACAGAGCACCACCCCCTGCTTCATTGAAGCCCGTCGGGAGGCGAGCAGCTTGACGGAGCACCCTGGCCATGCTCACACTCCCAGGCATCCGCTTCCGCCACCGTGAAGCAGTGGAGGAGTGCGCACACCTCTGGCGCATGCATTCCCTCAACACTTCACACATGCATCTGAGAGCGCAAGGGGCCAACCTGCCTCCCTCAGAGGCTCAGCCGGTCCATATTAGGAAAAAGGTTGAGGACCTCTGAACTATAAGACAAACCTTCAGGTATGTAATCAGGTTTAGGACATGGGAGGGTTGAGGGCAATACTGGGGTGATGTCCATGGTGGGACTGGAGGAAGAGGCTTTCAATGGCTCTAAAAGAAGACCTCTTCCCTGCTGGAATCCCAGTAATGGAACTGCTCCCTAAATGAGGTCCATTTGTCACCCTCACTATTGCTTTTGAGGCTATGGACACAATTGCTTCCTTGCTTAGCTACCGTGTTTCCCTGAAAATAAGACAGGATCTTATATTAATTTTTGCTACAAAAAATGCATTAGGGCTCATTTTCAGGGGAGGTTTTATTTTTTTTCATCTACAACCATCTACTTTTATTCAAATACAGTCATGTCCTCTTCTTCTGGTTGCTGCACAAGGGTGGAGGACGGGGTTTTACTTAACTGGGGCTTATTTTTGGGGTAGGGCTTATATTACGAGTATCCTGAAAAAATCACACTAGTTCTTATTTTCAGGTTAGGTCTTATTTTTGGGAAAACAGGATAGGTGTTCTGCCTTCCCTCTAAGGCAGTGGTCCCCAACCGTGGGCCTCCAGATGTTCTTGGACTGCAACTCCCAGAAGCCTTCACCACCACCTCTGCTGGCTAGGATTTCTGGGAGTCTAAGAACATCTGGAGGCCCAAGGTTGGTGACCACTGCTCTAAGGGGCTGGATGTGGTGTACACAGCTGCTCCACATTTCATCTTTACAACAACCCTTTGAAGAAGGTCAGATTGAAAGCACGAGGCCCAAGGTCACCCAGTCCCTCTCAAAGCCCAATGGGGACTGGAACCCCAGTCTCCTATGAATCCCCAGTGCACTAACTTGTACACCTATGTGCCATCAAGTTAATTAAGACTTAGGGCAGCCCTTGCCACGTTTCCTAGGTATAAGGCACTCAGAAGTAACTGACCATTCTCTTTCATGTTAGGTAACTTAGGGGTGCAAAATGCTGGCCCTCCTGATATTTTTGGCCTGCAGTGCCTGACATCCCTACATAACAACATGAGGAATTATGGCAGTTGCATTTCAGAAACATGCAGGTTTCCACAGTGGCCCATGTCTGGTCTAGTTCAAGATTACCTGTTCTGACTGGCAGAAGTTCCTTCTGATCTTAGCAGAGGGTTCTTTATAAATTTAACGCCCAGTTTTTCTTTCCGTTTTTCTTAATTTTTTTGCTAGATGCACGGGGGGACTAAATTCAGAGTGCCTGCACACAATGCATCACTGAGCCACAAGCCCTTCTTGATGTGCCTCGTGTTCCCAGTGTCTAAAATGGATTTCTCCAGAGTGGCATACAACATATTGCTGAGCCACGCACTTCTCTTGTTCCTCTTTCCAGACACTGGCTGAGGATTAAGAGCTCTTTGTTGCATTTTGCTCAGAACATCGACGGAAGATGTAGTTTCTGATCTTGTGTTCTGCAACCTTTTACAACTGCTGCTGAACAGGATTGCCAGTCAGAACACATTTGACGGTTTTATGCATGATTGTGCCTGAAACACTCCTGGATGAACTTGAGTTTTAAGTTCAGAGACTAGCCCAAAGAGAACCAATGTCTGTGGCATTTGGTAAAGGAATTTTACTGGAATAATACATGGCATGCTCGTTAATGGATTCTTTATTCTTTTCAGCTAACACAGAAACAAACACTGTTGGGTTTTTTTCTTTGCAAACTGGTACAATTTTGTTGTTGTTGTTTAAGGCCAGGCTGTGCTTTTGTGAGACTGGGAAGAGTTTCAGGCTGCCTGTGATTTTACCAGCAATGCTAGAACTTGAAGAAGTTCTTCTTTTGACCACTCCTCCCAGAATCGTTCAGCCAACGTGGCCAAGGTGGCTAGTGAAATTGCAGCATTAAAAAAAGTAAACACGCTTGCTGCTGAAAGTAGGCTGAGGCCGTTACACGAACACTGTGCCACAGGGTAGCCACAGAGTAAGGGGTGGTGGTGGTTGCTGTTGCTTTGACTTATATACTGCTCCATAGTGCTAAAGCATTCTCCAGTTTACAACATAATTATGTAGGCAACATTTCCCCTGTCCTCAGCAAGCTGAGTATTCATTTTACTGATGCCGGAAAGATGAAAGGATGAGTCAACCTTGAGCCCACTACCTGAATTTGTTGGGATCAAACCCAGGTTGTGAGTAGAGGCTTGACTGCAGTATAGTACAGTGGTGCCCCGCTTGACTATTACCCCGCTCCATGACGAATCTGCTTTACGATGAGTTTTTTGCAATCGCTATTGTGATCGTAAAACGATGTTTAAATGGGGAAACCCGCTCGATGACGATCGGTTCCCTGCTTCGGGAACCGATTTTTTGCTTAACGACAATCAAAAACAGCTGATCGTCGGGCTTTCAAAATGGCTCCCCGCTGTGTTCAGGACGGCTTCTTCACTTTACAGGCATTGGAAAATGGCCACCCTATAGAGGATCTTCGCTGCACGATGAAGTATTTCACCCATTGGAACGCATTGACCAGTTTTCAATGCATTTCAATGGGTTTTTTTACTTTTGCTTGAC